CAATAGATTTTTCATGTTTCCAATTTTATTTACTTTAACCTAATTTATTTTTTCTGCAGTTAAATTTCCTTTTAAAACTCTATTTCAATTCTGTTTATGTATTTAAAGCTTATTTAAATTTTTGGTAGTTTAGCAATCATATATTTTCCTTGCTATCTTAACTTTTCTTGATTGCATTAGTTTGGAGGAGTCCATGGAATTGTATCCAAAGCATTTTGTTATATAACCCATTTAGTGCAGGAAGTTCATCCTTCATTTTTGTTAATCGTCTGATCTTTAAGGCTTAGTTTACGATGTTCTTCCATCAACTCACAAACTAAGTTCCACGCTTGGAAAGAAGTGAGGATCGTTGAAGAAATCTTTCTTGTTTTGAGCAAAACAAGTGGCACACTATTCATCTGCCATGTGTCAAGAAGATTTGTTAGGTTAATAAGTATAATATTTTTTAGAAGCATTTAGTATAATATTTAAATTGACATTTTGAACCTAAAAATCTCTTAAAAAACCTAACAAATTAATTTATCATATTAATAAATAATTATTAAAATTAAGAAACAGAAAACATAACTCTACCTTCCTTGCCTCTTTCTCCTCTGTTCGTCGTTCTTGTTTTTGTCTTTTAAGGTTTTCCATATACAATTCCACCACCACCACCACCACTAACCAAAATACCATTCAATTCGATCAAACTTTTTAACCCAACAAATCAAATCCTTTTAATTTGAGTTTTCAAATTTATAGTGTGTGGTTATTGGAGTAGAAACGTATGCAATCTCTAAATATACAACGGAAACATAAAAAAGAATGCAATTTAATTGTAATTTTTATTGATTGAATAAAGTACAGTTGGTACAATATTTGTATTTTATGTTAAAGAGAATCAATGGAAATCCAAAATCTCTATCCCAGTAGTCTGAATCTTTGGGGATCTCATCTCCATCAATGATATAAGAAACCAAAAAGCATGATGGCTAAAATACCGAAATATCTGGAAATCTCATATATCTAAATAAGATCGGTGACAAATTAATTTTTTAGGGTTTTAACAGGTTTTTAGTTTCAATTAACGATAATTTAATTATTATATTGTCAACGACTTAAATAATTTAGTGGTTATCTCTTTCTGCATGAAGTAAAAGGTCCATGCGAATGAAATGGAATAAAAGATGAAAGATGATTACCTTTCATTGTGCAACCAAAATAAAAAAAAAATATTATACTAAATGTAAATTTATATTAAGGGTATTATAGATATTTTAAAAAACTTTAGTACACTTACAACGATTTAATTAAAGGGAATAGTGTCTATTCACCTTATCTGCTAGAGATTAGTAGGAAAATCATCTTAAAATTACGTTTTTTCAATAAATTCACATTGAAAAAGATTAAAATATCTTATTTTTAAAGCATGAATTAGAGTATTTTTTGTCTTATCCTATAGTACCTTATTAAAATTAGGTAATTTTAAAATAATTTTTTCCCTAATTTTAAGAGGTAAAACAGATAAACACTAATATGTTAATTAATATATTTTCACTTATATAAGATTCCAAGTTAAGTTTTAACTGAATAGAGACAGAAAATTTGATGGATACACCACACAATAATTTGCTGATCAAGAAAAAAAAAGAAAAAAAAAAAAAAAAAAAAAGAAGAAAAAACTACCCAAGATTTTTCCCTTTCAATTTTACAAGTAGCCTTTATTTGAAGAGCATTGTGATCCACTTTTTGTGCAAAGTGGAGCAAAGAACTTAAAAGAATAATCAGAAAAAGGACGATTGTTCACCAAGAACATTCAAGTGAGCAAGCACCCTAGCAGCTAAGGATTTCATGCCACTTGTACCTCTCTGAGTAATGTCAACTAATGGCATTTCAGCAGACTGTGCATACATCTGTTTCATCTCAACTAGCCGGAATATCCTTTCTAGAACAAGGAGTGCCTTCTCCTGCAAATGTGCAGAACTTGAACTCAGTAATTTAATGATTGGTGGTATGGCATCTCTTTCGGCAAACAACTTGCAACCGCTTTGCAGTTTTTCACCATCAATCAATGTGTTGATTGCATCTAGAGAAGCTTCAGCAGCTCCAACATCATTCTCACTGAGAATCCTTAGAAGTGGCTCCAGAGCATTAGCCTCTAAAATGCAGAAGGAAGAGTCTACAGTACATATTCCCATGTGTACCGGGCAGCCTCTTTGTGGTGCAGCCAAGCAACACCAGATAGTGCCATGCTTGATTGGTTTGCTCAGTGCAGTGGAACTTTCTGAAAACTGCTTAATCGAGATGGCTGCACTTTTCTTTGTCAAAGGAGTTCCAGAAACGAGTAACTGTACCAGCAAAGGGATAAATCCAGCTTTGGCTACCCTTTTTTGCCATTCCTGATTTGTTGAAACAGTGAAACGACAAAGAGCTTTAACAGCATTCTCTGACACTTGTTGTCTATGCCTAGAATTTATGTTTCCATCACTTAAAAAAGTACAAATAATGTCCAGTGCCCCAGCATCTAGAAGGCACTGGGTTATATCTGAGTCAAGTGGAAGATTGGAGACGATGCCCATTGCAGCAGCTATCTCTTCCTCATCATCAGAAGTTTTTATGATTCTTAGCAATGTCCCAATGCATCTTTCATCCACATGCTCCTGAAAGACAGCGTTATCACCATCTTCTGTCAAGCAATGGAACAGCTTCACAGCACTTGCCCTAACCTCCACATGGTTTCGTAGCTCACATAATTGAACCAATACTTGGACAGCAGAAAGCTGTTAATCAAATAAGCAGCAGAACAATGAACTAGTCAGTAACTACTGCATATATAAAGGACAGATACCTGTCTTTGTCTTGCCAAACATAATGCAGATTAGCTGATCGAAAACAATGCAGATAGAATTTCTAATTGAGATATTAAAACTCACAAGGATGAATACCTGTCTTAACATTGTTCTAATGTTAGAACCAGAAGAAGATTGGCATATTGCGTGAAAAGCTTGGAGAATGCATCTTTGAATATCAGGTCCTGTCAAGGAAATAAGGGAGAAGAGTTTGAAAACATCTTCATCAGATTCCAGCAATGAGACTTGCTCGTGATCAGATTCTTGGGCATTGGTTGATATGGCAAGGTTCATGATTATGACTGCTACTTGTTCACGCATACTTGGTGATGATAAGCTGTGGCGATAAAGGATTTCAAATAGTGGTCCAAGTGCACCTTCTCTAATCATCAGGAGGCCATATTCTGGTAAGCTTGACAGGTTCTGAAGGGCTTTAACTGCCACTCCTTTCATCTCTAGATCATCATGACAAAGCAGCTTAAGAAGCGGTTCCAAGGCACCATCTTTAAAGAGGGACAACTTTCCATGATCAGTTAACTTAATTTCTGATAATGTATCTGCCATGATCATTCTAACATTATCCGGTCCTGCATCAACATGGCATTATCATTCACAATAAATTTATCTCTTACCTGAAATAGTAATTATGCTACAACAAGGAAATACCAAATGAGGAATCTAATATCATGATCTTTTCCATTTTCAGAACTAAAGATGATTTTTGCAGGAAAAGTATCATTGGGGAAAATAAATGTTAGACATGGAATGTTAGGACCTAACAGATTAAGCACTATGACTTGCCAAAATTTAAGCTTCTATCAGGTTAACATTATCCTTTTACTCTTTTCTGAAACACCAAAAGAGCTTACCTGAAGAAAGAAGCTGCAACAAAGGTTTGAAATAATTTGCCTTTGCCATGTCTATAACATTCTGGTGAAGGAATGATAGATTATCCAAAAGTTCTTTTGCATCTCCTGAAGCTTGACTATCATCACTGTTTAACAAAGAAACTAGGAGAAGTATAGAGCCTTGAATGGTTCCGATGACTTCTCTTACTTCTTTACATCTTGATAGCTGCAATAACAGCTGCAATGCTAATTTACTTTCCCCTATTTGACGTGCAAGTGATCGCACAATAGGTTGCAGTACATTGTCTACTTTAGCAATTCTTTCCTGTCAAACGATGTAATAATCATTCAACAAAAATGCAGTGAGAAAACGAATGGTTTATAGTCTGCAATTGTTATATGAAAGATATATAGTGGATTTATAGGTACCGTATTGTCATGACTATCCTTTGCTAGGATATAGAGGATTGCTAGGGCTAGAGTTCTTGTTTCACGACTTTTTGCATAAAGAAGTCCAACAAGAATTGGTATATAATCCTCCAGTGACACCAACTCTCGGTTTAATTCATGTTCTGTGCAGAGATCATGAAGCTTCTGCAGAGATTGAATGACCTCTTGCTCTTCACTTGACTGAAGTTTAGGTTTGATGGAAACAATAGTGATCATGTTGTTCATTTCTCTCCATTCTTCAATTGATTGTCGAAGGTTTCTATTAGGCCGCAATACCAAATCGTTCAAGGGAGATGACGTCACTGGACAATATCTGTTTCCATCTGCAAACCACCTCTCAATAGCACTTCTCTCAAATGTCCTACTAGAGGAAATTTCCACAGGGTCAACCATAACATCCAGAGTGATAGGGCAATAAAATGACCCCAAAGGTGCCACGAGTTGCCTAGGCAGAGAACTTCGCTTGCTCAGGTACCTCCTCTGTTTCTCACCATAAGATGTTGGAGTCTCAGCTTTTTCATGTAATGCACTTATCTGCTCCAATTGTCTGGCTTCAGCCATGTCACTTCCCAGCTTGTTTTCTTCTATTTCACTCTTAAATTCTTCAAATTTTTTAAATTCTTCCCAGCTTGCCAGCGGAGTGAAAGAGGCACTTTTAGTTATGCTCACTTCCATCTCGGAAACCAGCAGAACTAAGGTAAAAATGAAAACACGCGATTCCGTTATTACAAGGCTTGGTCTGGATGCAATTGGAGTGTGCTATCTGAATTAATCTGTAAATTATCAAAGATGATCCATCCTTTGTATTTTTAGAATAATTTTATAATCTTAAGCTCTTTTTCTTTATCAATATATATATATATATATATATTATTCAAGAAAGTACAAGAATACTCTAAACCATAATGCAAAAATGCCTCACAAGCACTTAAACAAAAAAAAACCCCTCTCAAATGGTTCTAGATGCTAGTACATGTCCAAGAGAAAAAACCAAGCAAACCCCTAGCAGGCAAATGAACAAACAACTGGTGTGCATGCCCAAATGAAACTCTATTCTTTACAGAATTTTCACCTCGGATACCCATAGTCTTAAGCTTTATAGAAACATACAATAAACCTAAAAATTAATTCTAAAATCTTGAGTTGTGTACAAAAAAAAATACACGAGAAAAGATTTGAA